TTACATTGCAGCTATAGAATTGTTGAAGTGGAGGACAATTCATCTTTTTCTTAAGTAGTCTGCTGTTCCCAAACCCCAACAACTGAACTACTTGGCATCTCAGACGTTACTAAGATTGATAGAAAACACTGAGAGTTTGCAATGCACTCGTGCTATTACCTAGAGGCCAAACTACCGTAACGTCTCCGATCCAATCTTCACATGCGGTGTTCGGAGCACATGACTGACAGCCTCAGCGTCAGAAGGTAAACCGAGGAATGAAACATGAACAGGACAAAAGGTCTCCTAGAACAGCAAGCCTGCTAAAATTGATTCGAGGCCTGAGAAACGTAAGGTCTTAACTCATTTTCTACAACTACAAAAGATGCACTACACCCACGTTGTATGCGGGCAAGACAGTTTAATTCCAGCAGAGGTCCAAGGATGCAGCATCTGTAGAACACATTTTCCTAATGGCTGACTGTACAAAGAATAACCTCTTGCCTTGTGAGCCTTCTATAGTAATTTGCTCCTCTTGTCCTTTCAGGAAGGCTTCTAACTCTTTCCATGCATTTTGTATAGCTTTTTGAGTGGGCTTTTTTTAAAGGAAAACTGTGATGCTTTCTTTTCCATTGTATCTTGCTTTAATTTAGAAGCCCATATCATTTTTTTAATTCTGATCGAGTGTACTGTATGAACATCTCCAGTTTTAAGCCAGCCTTGCTCAAATTTATGCCCAAATGTATTACACACTATTTCCAATCACATTTGTGAAAAAGGTACTACTTCTGAGGTCTCTTTCCAAAAAATCTCTTACCCTAAATACACATGAAACTGCTATTTTATGATCGAAAGAACTGATTATTTTTGCCGTTCGTTTCAATAATGTGGTCTGAAGGAGCCTAGTGTGGCCACATATTAGGGCTGTAACATCATAAATGAATAAAACATCTTGGCCTTATTACTAACACCAGCAACAGCCACTCTCTGTAAAAAGACAGAGCATCTATTCAAACGGGAGAACGAAAAGTGACAGATTAAGCCAAGGTCACTTCGGAGCCTCTAATACGAGCATGAGGGGAAGAGAGAAGGGTCATTTGCAGACATCTCTGCAAAAGCACTTAGTGTCATCATAGCTACATAAAACATATCCGGTACATAACCGCCAACAACAAATATTTGCTTCATTAAAGATTTTGCTGATTAAGGTCCATTTGTAGCAAATAATCAAGCACCTTAAAAGTTTCTAATTTTGTAAAAAAATCCAAACCAAACCACACATTTCTAGCGCTGGAGCACATCAAGAGATTGCGTTCTTCACAACTGAAATACATCAACTCCTTTTTTCCTATCTGCTTTCTCTACTTGACATCGAGTCAAAGCAAAGGAAGGCATAGGATAGCACTTCCTCCAAGTATTTTTCCCTAGAGATCTAATAATACCAGCTACTTGGAGCCATGCTCAAAACAAGATGTAGTGGAGCTGTAGGGTTTCCAAAAGATGCTAAAAATGTAGAGGGATTCAAGGGAGAAAAACAGGGAACGTGCTTGGAAGAGAAATCCACCACGGCCTACCACCAGTAGAGGAAATCTTCCAGATTAAAGACAGTTGGAAGCTATGTACGACAAGCACTCCTGAGAAATACATGGGCTTGTCCTCATGTGTCTGGTGTTCAGAGTACGACAAGTGGTCTCTTGGTCCAACACAGTGTGGCCGCTGTTAATTTTTCTTTTTGCGGTTCCTCTGGCCCCCCCAGATCTCATTTTTCCAATTCTCTTCCTATTCTTACTGATGTTATTCAGGGCTATTTCTCCCGAGATACTGCAGATCAATATATATAAGGAGGTATTTGCATATCAGAGCAATCTCATTCTCTCAGCTCGGGGCCGTCAATAGTTTCACTGTGAGGGAAACAGATCTAACTCGGTAAGATTTTTAGTTTAGTCACTTCATCACTCTACAGTTTCTGTAAGTTATTCAAAAGCAGCACATGGAACAAGAATAACAAACACTGTTTACGAAACTTCCAAGCATGTTATTTTGCAAGATATATAAGCTCACAAAATACTTCAGTGTGTGTTACTTATTATATTCAGGTAATTTTTAAAAAGGGGAGTAAACATTGCAAAATGAGTATAAATCAACATTCAGAACGTCCAAGACATACTTTGACACTTGTTATTCCATGCATCTGACTAAAGAACTGTGAGGGAAAAGTCATAAAAATACACTAATTTATATGTGTAAGTTTTCTGTACAATCTATTTGCTAAATAAACAAAATCTATTGTGACAATACTGAATTGCCAAGGTAAGTACCACTGCTTCATCCAAGGTTTATCAATAGTAAGACCTCCCGTTGATAAAAAGCAGTTAGGGAGTGTTGTCCATTAAGAAATGGCAACATTTCTGTTAAAATAAACAAAACCTAATAGATAATGTATTCTTTAAGGTCAGCCTTTACATTTAATTTTTTCCCAGGCCTTTATCAACAGTGTTTATTATAAAACAAGTAGGGAACTCCAAGTAACAAAGCAGTGGCAAGCAGAAAATTCTATCACACAGGTCTCAAAAAAAAAAAAACCACACCTCAAAGAATTTCAAGCTAGGCAATTTAAGCAGTTCAAGCAGTTTTTGTGTGTGACCGAAATGGCATTTTAACATACATTGAAATTTAAAGCCAACAAATACTCTACTCCCACAACAGCAAACACCAGGAAGGAAAGGCATGGGTTTTTAAATTTTTTAAATTGGTTTTGTCCACACAGGTGCTGCGAAGGCAGAGTGCTACACTAGCACACGTCCTCAAGCAATGCTCAAGCCATAGCTACATTACACTTCTCATGTAGCACTCCTTTAGCTTAGGAGAAAAACCGGAGGAAGCAGAGAGTGGTGCAGGCTGCAAGGGACAGGAATGAGGTTTACGGCAGCTGTGTTCCATCCCCGGTTTCTGATCCTTTACATCCTGACCTCAACCTAGCGCGTGCCTCTTCCCGCTCCTGTAACAGTGAATTACCGTCTTTTCAGCCCCCACAAACCGAGCAGTCACTGAAGTGAAGATACCGCTCTTTTAGCGTTCAGATTATATCTCATTTTTTTCCTCAAGTGATTCACTCACTTCACACCAGACTCATTTCAGGAAACTGGCATCAACAGGAACAACTCGGTGGTAAGTTACATTCAGGTGGACTCCGTTCTACCACCGTGTTCCTCATTTCCAGAATATTAATAATTCATCCACCCTAAGTAAGGCCTTGGCATTCATTTTGAATTGAGCATGTATTGACTGAAACTCTGTGTCAGCTGCAAATTTAGGCTTCTAACTCACAAGATTAAGAACTTATAACAGGTTATATTAAATCCTACCTTCCAGCAGAAAGAAGAAAGCAGCATATTGCTACTAAGCCTTCAAGGTATGCCCGACGGTAACAGAGACTTCTGTACAAGAAGTCACCCTGCTTTTGTGGTTAGAAATCCAGACAGACCAACCAAGCCAAGAGCCTACAAGTCGTGCCATCAGGGGAAGTGCCCGAGTAAGCCGAGAGGAAAGGGTGAAAACCAAAAAGGGGCAGTGAACTATTGTTTCCTGACCACGTGAAGTCATCTGTCAGGAACTACTGCCTAGGAAAGTTAAGTTTTTCCTCAACTAACTTCCAGGTATTCAACATATTTAAATACTATGCAAGGCGAGTGCCCTAATGTTTAAATAGCACATGCATAAAGGAGTTAGGCACCACAGCTGAGGCCTTTAGACCCAAAAGAGCACGCACACACTCTCTCTGCCCATCTATCTCAGTGTTTCATTAGCCGAAATCAGCAATCTACCCTGTCCTTCCTCCACTGTAAAATGACAATATTTAACAACATTGACAGAATTGTGGCAGATTTAACCTATTTACTTCTTTAGCTTAGGAGAAAATCCAGAGGAAGAAGAGTGGTGCAGGCTGCAAGGGACAGGAATGAGGGTTACAGCAGATGTGTTCCGTCCCTGGTTTGTTTTGTGAAACAGAGCAGTATTACAGAAATCAGTATTATACACAATATACCAGCCTCCAAGACAAAGAGTATAGAAAGCCATTTTCATCCTTGATAATGATTAAATTACTTTTATTCCCATTTAAAATATACAACTTTGAAAAATTATGCATCATACATTCAAATATGAATTGCATTCTTAAGTGTCCTGACATCCAGGTATCCTATTGCTGGCCAGTATAATACAGTAATCTGTCAACAATGTTCCCTTATGGCCATAGGAGAAAAACCTCCATAAATAAGATATTTCTATCTGATATTGCAGCTTTTCCTTAAACACTTACATTTAGAGTCAATTTCAGTAGGCCTCTTTCTCCCAAACAGTGCTTCTTGTTCCTATAGGAAAAAACAAATTCCACAGAGATCCCAAAAAGGGCAAAAAATGTCCAACTCAGCTATTTTAGAAATAGCATTCAAGACAAGAGTCAGTTCAGCAGTGTCAGGAATAACCATTAAAGCTAATATCACCACCCAAAAGCAGTTCGAGAAAGCTCACTAACAAAGCCACGAATCATAATGGTCTTCAGTAATTTAAAAGCTTTAGAAAAATCGATACAAACAGTATCATTAGTGTGGCAATACCGCTGCAGACACTATTAGTAGTACTGCAAGGAAGCATAACCTACAGCCTCCTTGAAAGAGCACCACTACTGAGAAATCTTTATGGTAGGGATTCAGTCAATTTTTGAAAGGACACATTGACTTCATTTAAGCCTGACAGTAAGAGCAGGGTACACAACGCAGGGTACAATGCTGCTCTGCTTTACTACTGCCTAACTTGGTGCTATTTAGAGAACACCAAAACTATGACAGGCATTTTTTAGACCGTAACATCCCCGTGCTGCAGAGCTTCAAGTCTTCGCTAATATACAGAACACAGTGGGGAAAGAATGAGACTCAAATAGCCATGAGTGATATATAGCGTGTATTAAATCAGTTAATGGGTGGGTAGGAGATAAGAACAGTAGGGGAAAAGAGTCAGCTGCCAGTTTTACACTGCATAAGGAGTAGAAAAAAAATGTAATTGCTCTTAGCCCTAATTTAACTGAAGTCAACATCATCACTTCTGTATCTGGACTGGAGACAAAACTGTTTATCATTGCATTAGAAAATGAAGTTATTAACAGTTTGGTCTGATATCCTAACTTAAGAGAGAAAAATCAACACAGGTATTTTAAAGTTGATAATTTTTATTTACAGTTTTGTTGGCAAAAGGCGGTGGGAAAGTTTAAAACACTTTAAACAGAGGGCACCGTATCGTATTGTAGGACGTATCAGTTCACAATCTTCAGTATCCAGCTGATCAAATAAAGCTAATCACCACTTAAAGAACCATAATCTGCATCGGCTCCATTAGTGTACACTGCCTAAAAACACTTCAGGCAGTTTCCAAATCAACACAATCACTAAGAAAAATGCTGTTCTGGTGAAGAATGTATACTTTGATTTTTATACTGTACCTGGTATCAAATTGCCCACTTACACTCGCATACCGGCAAAGCAGTTACACTTCCTACTTTTAGTTGAAAGTTATAATCTCATTAGCTGCAAATTCAGCTGTCAGGTAATTCTGAACTACTTTGAATATTTTACTGTGAGCATAGTCAAGATGGGAGTAGACGAGACTGAAGGAAAGTATTCCTGGTATATGATGTGCCCATCAGAATCAGCTGGGTAACCATAAACATCCTGTTTAAGAATTCTATTCAAAAAGGAGAAAAAACGTAGTCAGTTTTCACTTTGTCACATAGATTTAACTCCTCACTTGAGCTTTTTAATTCATTCTTCTAAATCGAGAGTGTTTAGTTCTTCTTCTAGTTCATCCAAGTCCTCTCCAGTAAAAAGATTTTCATCAACCGGAACTGCATCAATTACTCCATTTTCCAACTCCCCATCTCCGTCATTATCTTCCTCTAAATCATTTTGCTCACTGCTGTTTATATCACCACCAGAAGCTTCACTTAATTTATTATCTGAAAACAAAAATAATTCTTACACATTTCAGTGTCACAAGTTTCTTAATCAGTAATTCACAATCCTACTAAACAGACTGTAAAGTTTCGAAGCTATAAAGAAGTTACTTAATTTGAAATTTTCATAGACTTACATTGGTTAAATTGCATGTACCTGATTAATATGCAGGTTTGTATCATCAATTATTAAACCAGCTTGAAAAACGTAACTCAAACTCCCAACTCCTCCACCTCCTATTGTAACTGGGTCAAACTTTATGACCTGCTCCTACTCAGTGTCTGCACTGAAAGATTAGGGCGTGCATTCCACAAGTGCACAAAGACCAAGACTTTGCTCTTAGAAATTACAGGCTATCTTAAGCTAGCTAGAAAATACGAATAAAAGCTTGGATTTGTGTTAGTACTATTCATTCAATCATTTACTACATCTGAAAAAAAAAAAAGAAGCTACTAAAACAAACATCTTAAGGATTTACCTGAAGTGGCCATAAACACTACCTTTTATTTAAACTTGAATTTAAGAAAATATCAAGTACATAGTATTGACTACAAGCTTTCTCTTTAGTAACTACATGCATCATTGATAGTAATTCTACTGCCCCACCCTTTTTAAACAAATACTTCTTTTCAGCAGATCAATAATTCATTTCTATCTGCCTTTTAGGAAGCTCTTAACAATTCAACGCCGTATTAGGGATGCCTACATAATGAACTTACCATCTTTTTCTACTGAAGTGTATGTGCTGAATCGCTCAGGACTAGCCACAGTAATACCAGTCTCATCTACAGCCTTTGGGACATACAGGTTCAAATCTACATCATTTATGCACACAGGGTCTTCCATCTGAAAAATAAACCAAGATGCTCTGCACCGTTCCCATTTCTGCACAATTTCTACAAGATGTTCTTAATCTTCCTTTTAACATCAAAATTTTGACAAAATATACTCTGTGGCAGTGTTAAATTAAGAACCGAGCTTATTAATTGCCCTGTAAGGGCTCTCAAATTAAAAGTTTTCAAGCTTAAATGTAACTTGAAATATTATTCGAGTTAACACTGTTCTTTACCTCGTCATCTTCTCCTGTTCCTTGAATATAATGGGTGTCATCTGCTTCTTCATCATCTGCATCAACCAGCTCTGGTCGGAACTCAAATACTTCACGTCCACTAATCTATTCACAGAAAAAGAAGCCTTAATTCATCACTTGATACGATTCATACTGCTGTTAAAAAAAAAAAAAGAAAAAAGAAAAAAGAAAAAAAGAAAAACGGAAAACAGTTCCAGGCCAGCTACTTTCTCACAAAAACTTATTTATTCTTTCTTCTTACATTAAGAATTGGAGTGTAGAACCTACCACCAATGCTTTGCCAGCTTTGAAATCTGCTTTCCTCCTCTCCATATCTTGCTCAGCCTTATCAATTTTTTCTTGTCTTTTCCTTCTCTTCCAGGCAATAAAACACTCTAGAGTAATTTTGGTAACATTTGGTCCTAAGGCAGCACGCTGTCAAGTAGAGAGACTGATTAAAGCTAGAAATTGTTTCCAAAGACTACAGCAAATTAGAGATTTAATTACTCTCTTCCAGGAACTAATTGAAAACATTTCTTTCCAATTCCTTCTCCACTCTCACCACTGTTAAACATGCCCCATCAACTCCAAGTTTGACTCAACAGACAGTTTTCCAGTTAGTAAGATAAGCTGACATGAAAGTTAACAGGAGAAGTGGCAGAGCCAAGAAGCCAACAGTAATAGCTCAGGTTCTCCTCGAATTGACACTGCCAGGCAACGGTGACAGCCATCAGCAGAGCAGCAATGTTAACGCCTTCAGAAGGCCCCGTTCTCTTGGTGTTGCTTTCTCATTACAGAGGTACATGAGAACTAAGGAGACAGTGAGCTGGGGATGAGAAAGCCCCATAGAAACAGTTGTAATAAAGGAAAAATAGCAGCAAGAAATAGAAGCCCCCTAAAAAGGATTAGCAACATCTGCACTAAGTATACAGCTATAGTTTAATCTACTCACTAGGCAACAGTTTCTAAACAAAAGCATGAATCAAACACATCCTTTGCCCTAGCTCATGCAGTTATAAAAACATTTTATACTCTAATTATTAATCTGGAAGTTATTTACAACTGTCTCTTCAGAGTAACGAAAACAAATACCACCAAAAGGTACCTGTCTGACCACTTTACCTCTTTTTCTATAAGATCTTCTAAAGATATTTCATCTTGCTTTTCCTCCTTCTTTTTGTCTTTTTTTAATACAAAACCTGGAGGGAGAGCATGGCGATACATGCAGTTGTCTCCTCCACCCGGACAGACCCAAAACCATCCATATTTGTTGTTTTCAATAGCATCAAGGAAATATTTGCAGACCTGTATAAAACAATCATTGTTAGCACTGCATTCTCTTCTCATCCCCAGCAATTAACTCCACACATATAGCTACTACATGTCAGAAGTGATTCAAAGCCAGCTGTGCTCAAAACAGAAGAAACATGAAATGCATCGCTACTAGAAGTGCAACTAATTATCTGTAACTCACATAGCCATCTTTTTCCCCTTAACATAATTCCAGTTAAAAAGATGGGATGGCTCAGCAGGCTGGCAGCTGTGTACTACTGCAAACCCAGCTGCACATGTGAGAGCATGCCGATGGGCTTTCTCTTCCCCCTCACCAACATCCATGCAGCTCTCATCAAAATAAATACAATCTTCCTCAGACATTAAACCTGCCAGCTCACGATCCCGAGGTCAAGATGCCACTCTGGAACTTCTAACAAGCAATTTGTAGTTCACACTTAGCCATATCAAAGTTTAACTTTCGCAATTTTAAGCAGTATCATACAATATTTAGTTATTTGGTATTGAAAGCAAGGTGAAGTAGTTCTGAAAAATGAAAAAGGATTAAGATACTACACCATTTAGTGCACAAACTAAAGAATATTCTTGAAGTTAGAGGTCAGGAACTAGAAATGACTCTCCATCAGTAAATTTCAGCTTAATAGGACCAAATTTACACTTTTATGCTTACATGTCACCCAGTACATAAACACGCCAATATATCTGGCAGTTGCTGGAACAAGATGACAGACCTAACTAACCACAATACTTGAATCTTCTAAGCAAGTAGGATGCATTAAATATATTACTGATTCCTTTAGCATTTTTGTTTTGAAAGCACTTCATCTACTATCCATTCATATTTTGCATGAGAAAATACCTTAGGATGACTGAAAGAGCTTTGGAGTAGGTTTTTTTTTTTAGAATACATCATTAGAAATACTATCAGCCCAACCGTATACTCAGAATATTGTTATAACATTCCATTCAAAACCTTTAGATAATGACAACCATATCTAACACCAGTCTGTAGTTAACTCTCTCTACTACAGTTCAATCAAAAAAAAAAAGACATACTATTTGAGTTTTGGGTTTTTTCTTTTCCGCCTCACCATGCTTCTTGTTCACCACTTCTTCCAGCTTCTTCTCATCCCAGTTATCCATTGTATCTAGAGAAAGTTAACAGATGGATTCACAAAAATTCCAAAGACTACAACAATGCTGTCAAGTTGCTTTACTCCCTAATAACAGTTTTAATATGCAAATCTTACATTTTAGTCAGTTTATAGAATAGAAAATAAACTCAGATTTTTAAAATAAAGTTTTCAAACTCTCCTATGCTGCTCACAAGACAGTTTCTTCAAAAGCCTTAGAAATTTCTACTTTGACATGCATGAAGTGTGTTTCAGCTAAAGACTAAAAAAATGATCATTCCGTCTGTGCACTACGGAGCACGGACAAGGGAAAAGAAGAAAAGGAAGATGACCGAATAAGAGAGAAGGCTGGAGGCTAATGTCCAGAAATACAGACAATAGAACTTGAGGATTGAAGAGAGATATTTTCAGTGTTAAACTTGAAAGAAGGTGCCATCAAAAGAAGCAAGACCACCAATGGTAACAACAGCAGTCAATCTACGTGATCCTATCATACTAATTTATGACGACACAGGCTAAAGCTCAAATAAAGACCGAGACATGATTAATTGTGGAAAAAGAAAGTAAATTATTTTGCCTATTAAATCTCTAACCTTGGCTAAGTAAAAGTAAACTCCAGAGTAGTTAGCCAACAAACGATTTGGGGAAGGGAGATGAAGTCACAGAAAGGGTTCCAAAGTATCCTGAACTCTAGAACTGTACACATTTGGGCAAACACCAGTAGTAGTTCTGGAAGGCAACTATGGCTGCTCATTGCACTTCCTCCTTCCGCATGTTTGTTTTAGCAAACTTTGTAGAAACTAGCAACCATAAGAAAGACCAAATACTGTACAATTTGCTACTTGTGTCACATAATATACTACACAGCAGAATTAAAAAACCACCACCCAGTATCACCAGGTCGTACTTCTTGATCTAAATAAGGTCTAACGAATACTTGTGAGCACACTTCTTAAAGTAAGTTTCACTGTTGTTCATAGTTCTGGCCACTGACCAGGCTCTTCAGGACCACAACCTAAACTCAGGATCATAACCTAATCAACACAAGACGACCCTTAAAAATCCAGTTTCAGAACTGGAATAGCTCAGCAGTCATTTTCTAGAAGTGCTGTACCTTTTTCAAGGTCCTCATCTCTTGCATCAATATAGACACTTCGTTTTTCACACTTTCTTTCCAAGGACAAATCATGAGAAAACTTGCACTTGTCTCCTTTAGTGCATTGGCCTTGCTTGAAGAAAGCACAAACTACAGATTTGGGGTCAGCACCTGAGTGAAGAAAGTTTTTATATTTTAATACTGTTTTTAAGCAAAACACAAAACTGGAGCAATAGCTGCATATTATAAGTTCTGAGTACAACATCTAGCATCATACAATCTTTAGAATCTGTAAAGCACGAAAACATGTTTTAAAGAGTGAAAGTTGTTTAATATGAAGTTCATTACAAGTAACCACTCCATGTCCTGAATGTGTCATACTTACTTCATACAGCATGGTATTTGCACTAAGTATCCAAGCTGGCACTTGACTATTGAAAGAAAGACAGTGTGCCTGAGTGACTTATTCATTCATATAACACAATACATACGAAATATCACTCTGCAACTTCTTCCCTAAACAAAAAGCAATTTTTGCTTCTAACAAGCAGTAAAGCATGTTCTGGATGTCAGCCTTTCCTTAATAAATCAACAACACGCTAGAAAAAATTACAAGAATCTAACCTGCACTCATTCAGACAACTTACTTAATTTAAAAATAGAAACAAAATGGCTGCTCATAGCCCCTAAAATAAGCGACTGCTGTTACAGTATGAACTACTCCATCAACTTTACTACACTTTAAGTAAATACCATCCCACTAAAGGAATTGTTTCACCATTAGGAGGTGAGAAACGAAATGAAAGCAGGTAGAAACCTATTTATGAGACACAGCTAAAGCAGAAATGCTTCACTTAGAATACTCATTAAGTGCTCCCGTAGGATATTAAGCTCGAATTTTTTATTTGATTTTATTTTGATTTTAAGCTTGGTGCAAGTCACCAGTGACTACAGTGTGTACAGCACGTACAGCAACACCTGTTTAAAGTCTTAACTAAAAACTTAGTTTTTAAAATGCTGAGTGGATCCCTAAAAGAACTTCAGGTAATATAGCTCTCCTTGTTGGCAATCTCAATAGAAAGCCAAAGATTTAATTAGGATATATTAGTCTTCTGAGTAAGTCAAGAGCTACTTTAATTGGAGAAAGCCGACGACTGTAAATGATAAATGGAAAACTGGTTTTGGCTGCTGCTAAGTGACACAATGAACAAATAGCAGGTTTGCTGTAAAGACATCCATGGAAATCACACTTCTTCAGTCAAAAATTATGTACATGATTTCACTAGTTCCAGAAGATTAAAAAAGCCAGAGCTGATAACATTAATTCCCAAAAGTATGATTTTCATTTTTCTTCTCCCACTCGGCAGCCAATTGTAGAGTTTCCTCGAAGTATCAAACACTCTTAAATTTATATTTTATCACAAAACTAGTTTGTTCCATAACCGAGTTCAAATAAGACCACGCTTCTGAAACCAAGTCCCACTGTTAACTGTGAGGTGGGGCAGAAGTACTTGGAAATTTTTTTCTGCCACAATTTGAATATGAATTTTCTGTGAAGACAATAGTTACCCTATTACAGTCCTTGTAAAGCCTGGATGTTCATGTTTCCCTAGGGAGACAGGTTGCTTTAACCAAACACCATCACACACAGACAGAAAAAATCACGCCACCGATCCAGAAGCATCTCATTAACGACCCTGAATACAGCAAAATATCTATAGGTGCCCTGTCAATATCAATGGAGCTTTTGATATTCTAATGATCTAGTAACCCCAGATGAATCCTTAAAAGCCAAATCGTTACTGACAAACTACTTGGTACACTAGATAGAGAAGGAAACAGACGTAGCTACTTGACTAAAAAATGAACTGGCATTTTTGAAGGGTTGTTTTACCTAAGGTATATGTATGAATAAGAACACAGATGAAGAGAATTCAGTTACTCATACCTTTGCTAATTTTCTGTGCAGCAACCACAGGCTTGAAGAGTTCATTTAATTCTTGTAATTCTTTTTTCTTATCTTCTTTTTTTAATTTCTTCTCGCTTTCTGTTTGAGCGGCCTATAATGACCCCAAATTTGATGCTATTAATATATAATTAGAATGACATAACTCACTTCACATTAACTGCACATTAAAATACCAAATCATTTCAAATCAGTTTATAAGAGGAGAAAGGAAAGAACCTGCGACTTCTGAATGTCTCGGAATTCCTGCCCTTGCCCGAATGGCCAGTGCCATCTAGTGGCACTGACCTTTCCCACAGAAGAGATTTCAGATGCAGTTTGTCAGACATGCAAGATGCTGGTAGGTACCATTAGATGACACCGTTACCTCTATTCAGCCTTTACAGGCTAGGAAGTCAAGTGAACGATATGGAGACAGAGGTGAGAAAAAGTTAATTCTCTTTTGTGATACACTGCAGTTACTTCAAGATCTGCGCAAAAAGCTGTAGGTGATTTAGTCCCCTACAGGCTGCTCTGTACTTTCTCTTCATGGGTACCAGTAACACTTCCAGGAAAGCTGTCTGTGGAAGTTAGGAACTGCTTTTAAGAACACTTTTTTGTCTGAATTTATATCAATTCATAGAGAACCAGTGGTTTATAAGAACAAATATTTTACGGGTACTAGGGCCAAGGTCTGAAAAACAAGATCACTGTCTTCGTTTCGGCTGGGGCCCGCCACAAAAAACCCCCCCCGCCCC